CCATCATGCCTAAACTTTCGACCGACCCCCCGCCGTTCAAACCTACCGGTCGGTACACCCTCGAACACTTCGAAGCAACCGAGAAGCTTCACGACGGCGACTTCCTACTTCCCAAAGAGCGTTGAGTCCTCCACCACTTCATGTGCCTGCACAACGAAGCCTTCGCCTGGACCGATGACGAGCGCAGATGTTTCAAGCCCGAGTACTTCCCCCCCGTCGATTTCCCCGTCGTTCCTCACACGCCCTGGGTGCAGAAGAATATCCCCATTCCGCCCGGGATCTACAACGAAGTCTGCGCGGTGATCAAGCGAAAGATCGCCGCCGGAGTCTACGAGCAATCGAACTCGTCGTATCGATCGCGTTGGTTCTGTGTCGTCAAGAAGGACGGTAAATCTCTTTGACTCGTCCATTCCCTCGAGCCCCTCAATGCAGTCACGATCCAACATTCCGGTGTACCACCGACACCCGAATACCTCGCAGAACAATTCGGAGGAAGACCATGCGGCGGCATGCTCGACCTCTACGTCGGCTACGACGAACGACTCATCGCCGAGTCTTCGAGAGATCTAACGACGTTCCAGACACCCTACGGAGCCATGCGCCTAGTCACACTCCCGATGGGTTGGACGAACTCAGTCCCAATCTTTCACGACAACGTCACCTACATCCTCCAGCCCGAGATTCCGCACATTACGGTGCCCTACGTCGACGATGTTCCCGTCAAGGGTCCCGAATCCGACTACGACGACGAGCGGCTCCCTTCGAACCGCGGCATTCGACGCTTCGTATGGGAGCATTTCGAGAACATGAACCGCGTGGTCACTCGAATGCGCTACGCCGGAGGTACCTTCTCTGGAGTCAAGAGCGTCCTCATCGCTCGAGAAATTATAGTGGTCGGACATCGCTGCACTCCTCACGGACGCCTCCCTGACGACTCTCGCGTCGCTGCGATACGCAACTGGGGTCCATGCGCTACTCTATCCGACGTTCGAGCGTTCCTCGGGACCATCGGCGTCGTTCGTATCTTCATTCGTAATTTCGCTCACCGCGCCGACACACTCGTGCGCCTCACAAGGAAGGACGTCGAGTTCGAGTTCGGTCCGGAGCAAATTGCGGTGCAGGAAGACCTCAAGGACGCGCTACTCTCATCCCCCGCACTCCGAGCCATCCATTATGATTCCCCCTCTCCCGTCATTCTCGCAGTCGACACGTCGTTCATCGCCGTCGGATATCACCTCTGCCAGTGCGACGAAGCCAACATGCGAGTCCGTTACTACAGCAGGTTCGGCTCGATCACACTCAACGATCGCGAACAAAGGTTTTCACAGCCGAAGCTCGAGATCTACGGCCTGTTCCGCGCACTACGATCCCTTCGACTCTACCTGATCGGCGTTCGGAACCTCATTGTCGAAGTCGATGCTCAGTACATCAAGGGTATGCTGAAGAATCCGGACATAGCCCCAAGCGCGAGTATCAACCGGTGGATCGTCTCGATTCTCACGTTCCATTTCACGCTGGTCCACATCCCCGGTACAATGCACGGCCCCGACGGTCTCTCTCGACGCACAGCTCAACCCGGTGATGTCATCGAAGATGAGGTCGACGAAGAGTTCGACGATTGGATCGACCAGATGCATTCTTTCATTCACCAGATTCAGCCCCTCCCACCGGTCCCTTCGCTTGCCGTCTTCACCAGTGACAGAGCCGAGGACGGCTCAGATTTCAATAGGGAGGAGGATAGCTATGAGCTAGTGCCTCGATCAGAGCAAGCACAACTTGCCGACGCAAAGCTCGACGACGTGCTCGAATTTCATCGAACGTTAGCAAAGCCCGACGACATCTCCGAAAGCGTTTTCGAAGGGTTCATCAAGTACTGCATGCAATTCTTCCTCGACAACGACACCCTCTGGCGCAAGGACAGTCACGGAGCACACAAGCTAGTCGTCAAGCCCAGCGATCGCCTTCGAATACTTCGAGAATGCCACGACCGCACCACGCATCGAGGAATCTATGCAACCCGAGCCTTCGTCAATGAGCGATTCTGGTGGCCGTTCCACTACGCCGACATCGCCTGGTTCGTTCGATCGTGCCATATCTGCCAGTCTCGACAAGTGCGTCAAATCCTCATTCCTCTGACCGTCGCAGTACCAGCCCCCATCTTCGCGAAAATTCACATCGACACAATGCACATGCCTGCTTCGGGTGGATACAAGTACTTGGTCCAAGGTAGATGCTCGCTCACGACTTACCCCGAGTTTCGAATGCTTCGAAAAGAGACGGCGAAGGCCCTCGCCGACTGGATCTTCGAAGACATCCTCTGTCGATGGGGCGCGCTTAGTGAGATTGTCACCGACAACGGTACGGCGTTCATCAAAGCGGCCGATTACCTTTCGAAGAAGTACCACATCAACCATATTCGAATCAGTGGATACAATTCGAGGGCGAACGGTCTCGTTGAACGTCCGCACTTCAGCACGCGACAAGCCTTGTTTAAGACAGCCGACGGAGATGAGAAGAAGTGGTCCCAATCTGCGTACTTTGTATTTTGGTCCGAGCGCATCACAACTCGACGACGCATGGGCTGCTCACCCTATTTCGCTGTTACGGGCACCCATCTGCTCATTCCTCTCGACATCGTCGAAGCTACGTACCTGCAACCACCACCGACTTCGGTTCTTTCGACAACAGATCTCATCACCCGTAGGGCCATTGCGCTCCAGAAACGCGTCGAGCAAGTCACCGAACTCCACTCGATGGTCTACGAAGCACGTCGAACTGCGGCAATTCGCTTCGAGAAAGAGCACGAGCACTCAATCCAGGATTTCGACTTCAAACGCGGAGCCCTAGTGCTCATACGCAACACGAAGATCGAGAAGTCCCTCAACCGCAAGATGCGCCCGCGATACCTAGGCCCCCTCATTGTTGTCTCGCGCAACAAGGGCGGCGCGTACATCGTGTGCGAACTCGACGGTACAGTCCTCGATCGACCCATCGCAGCATTCCGCGTCATTCCGTACTTCGCGCGCAAATCCATACCAATTTCCGAAGATCTCGAAGATGTCTCGACCGAGCATCTTCGAGAACTCGAACTATCGAATTCGCTAGGCAACA